CTAGCTGCAGGAACCTCATTGGGGCACAATGGACATAGGCTCAATGCAAGCAAGACTGAGTAGCTTTGGGTGCTTGGGTCTTCCAGTACCAAGGTTTTTTCACATCTGGTCCTGTATGGAGCAGCAATGCCTCATAGGGACCTGGTGCGCAACCTGGAGGTCTTCTTGGACTAATGGCTCCTGCTGGAAGAACAGATGGTAGCTGAGCTTGAGAGAACTTTTGTATACCTTCAGGATGTGTGCCAGTTTAACCCTGGAGGCTTTACCCACTGCCACTTATATAGCCTCATGATTTCCTGTTTGGACTACTGCAATGCACTCTATCTGGTGTGCCCTTGAAAAGCATTTGGAAGCTTTAGCTGATATAGAATGCAGCTGTGCATGTTGTAAATTATGTCAGCTATTCAGCACATACAATGTAACTTCTTCAGGGGTTGCCAATGTGTTTCAGATGCAATTCAGGTGCCTTCTCTGCCATAGCCCTGCCCTCTGGAACATTGTCCCTCCAGAAATTAGGATGGCCCCGATCCAGCTGGCCTTTTGGAAGTCAATGTGCCCAGGTCTGGGTTACCCAAGTATGTGAAGGACCCCATTTCCTGATTATGTTGACACTGAAGGCTTATAATATCTCTTGGCTGCTATTTGTATTTAATTTCTTTTTAGTATTATTTAACTGCTTTGTCTTTTATGATTGTTCATTACCCAGGATCACTGGTTAGAAATGGGCAGCTATGTGAATTGAATCAATCAATCAATAGATCATATTCACCACAATGTAGATGAATAAATACATTAGAACTATTTTTCTATTAGATTATTTCATTCATAATGTCCATAAATTGGTTTAATCTAATTTAATCTCATATTAGAACTCCCTTGCATATCAAAATCTGTAGTTGCCTCCATTTTGTAATGCAGTCTGCACCTAAAAAGTGTACACAAAATATATACATTTACATAAGTACACATTTTGTTGTAGCAAAATCTCAGGCAAAACTAAACCGAATTAACCTATTAAAAAGTGTTCAAATTAGGATGTGTGCACAAAAATTGGACCAAAGATGCAGAGTTATTCTTATCAATTGTGTGCAAACATTTTCTTAATTTACAAGATGTCTTGGAAAATAAATACATGATTAGTGAAATGAGAAATAGGAAAATCCTGGGCCTCTCCCTTAACAAGCTTCAGAAAAATCCGACAATGAACGAACATGGTTTATTTTAGCTAAGCTTGATAAAGAGATTTGAAGCGTAGGGGGTTAAATGTGGGTCAAACTGTCTGAAGCTCTGTCTGCTGTGTATGTTTTGCTTATAACTTAACTGTCAATATCTGCAAAGTTAAATTAATTGGCAGTGAGATGAAGCTGGTTCACAAGGATTTCTTGAGCTCTTGAATGTTGTGGAGGAGGAAAACTAGTGCGTCTGTCACTAAGAAGCTCTCGCGTTCTGGCATTTTGCCCAGCAGCCTGAGCAGGAAGGATGCAGAAAGAAAAAGAGACCATTAAGACTGGTGTGTTTTTTTTTAATGTATGAAAATTTACATGATTAGTCCACCTAAATACAGTATGTGGTTTGGGATTATCTGAAGCAACATGTCTGCCATCGTTAGTAATATCTGCAGTATTAACATCCCAAACCTTTGCTATGTATTTCCAAACAAACAATAATTACTGTCAGAAGCGGATGAGAGAAGTGATAGTATCATTTTCAGAAATTAAGCTTTAGATCCGCTTGTGCATCTAGGATTTGGGACCAGGGTTTAAAACTAGGTTTAAGTAGTTAGTTTTTAACCCTTAAATTTGCTTTAATCTTTATGGCACCCATAACTTGAATGGAAAGAAGGGGAGGGGGGGAAGTGGTGCTCTGAGAAAAACCTGGGAGATTTGGGTGAAGTAGTAATTAAAAACTGGCTCATAATATATTATGTTTTTTGCTATTTCTACACTAGCAATGCTATGCAATATAAATCATTAGGGTTATGCAGCACCTCAGATCCCAGAGGAGCAAGATAAGGAAAGATATGCAGTGAATGGCTTCTAGAATTCTAACCTTTTCAAAGTGGATCTTCTGGATCTCGTGATCAAGAAGGAAGCAGGAAGCCAAGTAAGTTTGGATCACCTGCCAACTTCCCTTGCTGTTTCTGAATTGCCTGTTCCACAGGAAGGCAATGAGGGAATTGGAGATTTTGTTCTCAGCGTGCCTGATGGATATGCCCCATCTCTTTACCATCTTCTCCCCATGGACCAAATTTTGTTCCACGCTGTTCAGTTTTTGGCTCCCTCATGGCAGGATCCCAATCCCTGCATTAAAGTACTGTTGACTTAGGAACAAGGGGTTTTGGGTGGGCACGTCGGCAGCATTGGAATTATACAGCTCGCCTCCACAGCCACAGTGTGAACCTGGCTAAAGCCACATTATATTTAAGGCTGAAGTTCTCAAACTGTGCACCGCAGCACCCTAGAGTGCCACAATTAAAATTCAGGGGTGCCATGGGATGTTTACATTGTTGAGGGAAACACAGCAACAGTCACCATCTCTTGGAAACCGCATGAACTGCTAGACTAGCTGTGCTGGGTCCCGTCCCTCGTCCCCCATCCCGCAAATTTAAACTGCCCTGTAGCATCCCTATGACACAGCTGTTTCTCAAGTCCACAGTTACCAAAGTATCTATTGGAGTGTTCCAGGGTGCAGTTTGGGAACTGCACTAAGGATGCCATGGACTGAGGAAGTTTGGGAACTCTGGTTTCAAGGAGCTGCCAGCAGTGTCTCCATAAGCCCTACGAATGATCTCTGAAATTTTCTTTTGAGGACAGGTGGTCCTTGATGTATTTCCCTTCCTATGCATAAAATGACCAACTTGGGGATCTCAATGGTTAACCTGGCTTGCCTCATTATACAAACAATTGTCCTTTTAAAATAATGGTGCTACAGTCAAAGCAATACATTTTATATTAAGGAAAATTACCAATTTAAGTAGTTGATAATGCAGAAATAGTGAAAGGGCCCAGATTTTTTTTTAACACATGGTTTTGGTGGTGAACATGCACATCTATCTATTATGCCATAAATAAGGATAAGAATATTTGACATAATACACCTGTCTATAATCTTATTTAATAATATATGGCCAGGTGCCATCATAACTCATACTAAATATTATAGATCTAAATATGCGGATCTGGATGGGGAGAAACAGGCTCAGGCTCAACCCATCCAAGACCAAGTGGCTGTGGTTTCCGACGTCCCAATATAGTCAGTTGGTGCCATCACTGACTACTGGGGGCGAATAGCTGGCCCCCATGGAGAGGACTTGCAACTTGGGCGTCCTCCTGGATTCACGGCTGTCTTTAGAAGAGCACTTGACGGCCATGACTGGGAGGATTTTTCATCAGGTTCGCCTGATCCGCTAGTTGCATCCCTTTCTGGATTGGGACTCCTTACGCACGGTCACTCATGCCCTCGTCACTTCCCGCCTGGACTACTGTAACGCTCTCTACATGGGGCTCCCCTTGAGGAGCACTTGGAGGCTCCAACTGGCACAGAGTGCGGCCGCGCGGGTGGTTATGGGAGTGACATGGCGTTCCCATGTAACACCTCTCCTGTGCGAGCTGCACTGGCTCCCGGTGGTCTTCCGTGTGCGCTTCAAGGTTTTGGTTACCTTTATTTTTTTTTATTGAAAAGTTTTATAGGAAATACAAACATTTTCTCCCCCCACCCTTCCCCCCCACCCCATCCCTCCCCCTTTGCCCTCCCACCCATCCCCCCACCCCCCTCCCTGACTTCCCAGAACAAGCACAAGGTATAGCACTCCCAAACATAAAACTAAAATATGCTAACAAATTGTTGACTTCAAATTCTTTCTAGGTCTTTAACTCCTTATGACTCAAAACACTATAAAAAGTTACCACCTTTAGAGTGCTCCATGGCTTAGGACCTGGTTATCTACGGGACCGCCTGCTGCCACCAGTAGCCTCCCACTGGCCGGTACGCTCTCATAGCGAGGGGCTCCTCCGGGTGCCGTCGGCCAAACAATGTCGACTGGTGGCCCCCAGGGGGAGAGCCTTCTCTGTGGGGGCACCTACCATCTGGAATGAGCTCTGCCCGGAGATACGGAGGATCCCGGATCTGCGTGCCTTCCACCGCGCTCTCAAGACCTTTTTATTCCATCAGGCTGGCCTGGCCTAATTTTCCCTTTTTTCCCTTTTAAAATGTAAATTTTAATCTGTTCTTAATTATTGGGGTGTTTTAAATCTGGGTTGGGCCAAATTGTTTAATTCAGTTTTATTTTGCTTTTAAATTTTGTATTTATGTGTTTTATCTTGTGGCTGTTCACTGCCCTGAGTCCTTCGGGAGTAGGGCGGTATATAAATCAAATAAAACCTAAACCTAAACCTAGATCAGATTAACAGAATTGGAAGGGACTTTGCAGGTCATCTAGTCCAACTCCCTGCCCAAGTAGGAGACCCTACACCATTTCTGACAAATGGCAGTCCAATCTCTTTTTGAAAGCCTCCAGTGATGAAGCTGCCACAATTTCTGAAGGCAAGCTGTTCCATTGGTTGATTGTTCTGTCAGAAATGATGGTGCACTATTCCATACAATGTAAAATCCTAACCCATCTTTATCCAGACAGCAGTGTGGTACAGTGGTTGAGCCTGGATTAAGATAGGGAAACTCTGGTTCTAGCCCACTGTCAACCATGCAAATTCAATGGATGACTTCAGGAGTCTCTGAGTCTGACTCCAATCTACCAGACAGAGACCTTGTATGTAGAAATTAGAGGAGAAAATATAATGTACACCATCTTATTCCTAGAAAATAGAAGGGATACATATCTAAAATTACAAATAAACAATTATTTTTCCTCGCTCTTATTCCTAATGCAATAGTATTTCTCAGTCAAGGAATAGGAATGCTTATCAGTAACACTCTTAGGTGTTTCTGATTTAGAATATAGTCTATCTGAGCAAAAAGGAGGGGGAAAAAAAACAAGAGACCAATTAATGCTGCATTTTTTAATAGTTTTGTTCTGCAGTTTGACCACAGCTTCTTAAGAACAAGCATAAAATTTGTATTTAAAACTAACAATAGCACTTAGAGCAATATTTTTCCTTAAAAGTATTGCAAGAACAGACCTTAGGTCTAGAAATTAAAACATCACCATTTACTCAGTTAGGAGGAGGCAGGTACACAACTGTTAAAAAGTCTTTTTCTGCATATAACCACAAGTTACATTAAAATTAAATAGCAATCTGATTAGTATAAAAGGAGCTTTCCCAATCTTGTGCCTTGAAGGTATGTTCTACTACAGTTCCTGTTTTCCATGCTGATCGGGAAAGCTGGGAGCTCTAGGGGAAAAAAGGCAAGAAGTTTCCAGATTGGGATTAAGTTGGGTTAAAAGGAAAGTCTCTTAAAGCAAAGCAAGAATCATGTAACTTCACATAAACAGCTGTTGAAAAGTTTCAATAAAAGCCACAACATATTTTCCCTTTTGAAAACATTTAAAAAGCAAACTTTAAATGAAAGGCTAAATATCAAGAATAGTGCTGTATTTTGTTGTCATTTTTTTTAAAAAAAAAACACTCTTGAAACAAACTGAATACATACCAAGCAATCAGGGTAGATAAAAAAAACGAGAAATATGACCCATGGGGAAAAAGCAGCAGCCTTATTGGGCTATTACATATTAGATGTGGAAATTAGCATTACTATGTAACTAAACAGTGTGCTGAAAGCAGGCACGAAGCAGAAAGATGTTTGTGATCCTACCTTTCCTTAGCAGCCTCTAAGGGACTTTATGGAGAGGCAATACAAGCCTTGCAGGAGGGGAATTAAATGGAGATTGACCACCACTTTCCTACAGAAATGTTCCTCCAAAAGGTCTTTTTGTTTTGTGACAGGAAATCAATAGCTAATAGACAGGTGTCTGTAAATACTATGACATTTTCTGTATCAAAGTCAGCTATCCTAAAGATCATTTGCTGTGCAAATTGCTTCTGTACTAGAGATAAATCAATGGTTACTCTGTTGAAATAGCTTTTTGCTTGTTGGGTAATAGGCCTTGGGTGCCATTTCCCCTGAAAAATATATGTATGTCTTTTCGTTTGCCTAAAATATGAATGAGTTCTAACAATACATTCTGTCATACCTTCCACCACTGCAAGCTTCACAGGCTGGCAATTCTGAAAGGAGAAGCATCTTGTTTGGTCCTCAGGCTATACACAGCAAAGGTTATTGCAATTCGTAACTTGCACCTGGCATGACGTTCACACAGATGCAAGCTTTCCGTACTGTGCAAAGCATTGCCATAATGCAGGGTAAACACAAAACTGAGCAATACATCATCAAACCAATAAAACTTAGAATTTCATGTCCCTGTTTAATTAATACCAATTAATTAGGCATAGTTTTTTGTGAACCTAATTGCATCACATGTGCAAAAAAGAGGAACAGAACAGTCCATTTGAAATTGAAAACTTCTCACTACAGGGAGGGCTGTATATCAGTTAGTAACCTAGTACAGGACATAAGTATTGTCTGTATCTATGAGGATATTAGCAAAACTCTAATGAAGGTACATATAAAAATTAAGGTAAGCCAATATAACTTTCCCAGCCTGATCTCTTCCAGATGTATTCTACTGAAACACCCATAATTCTAACCAATTATCTAGTAAGAATAGAGTAAAAACATACTTCTAAACTTCTTTGACTATGATAATTGTCCTGTGAAGACCATCTACTCTTTCATCTTCAGGTCAGTCCTTCCCACAAATAGTTAAGTGATGACTTCCGTTCATGGCAGTCAAACTTTATTATTATTAACACATGTACTTGAAACTTTGATCTGCTTGAAGCTAGAAGATGGCCAAACTACTAATAGGTATTTGGGGGGGGGGAGAATTGTAGCCTACCTATGATGACAACAGTAGGGTGTGTGTGGCATGATCCATTAATTTGTGGTCCCAGATTGTAGCAGCTAGGGACTAATTTTAAAATATGAGCAGAGTAGGACAGTTCTACTGAGTTAAATCAGATTCAAAATAAGAAACCCAGTAGACCAATAGACTCTGTTTCAATGAAGAGGTCTCCCATTGCTGGATCATGGGATACTGAATGAGCTTCTTAAGAGGGGGAAAGACTGAGTTGTTTTCAGTGTTAAAACCTGCTTTATTTTTCTAAAATATCTGCTTTGCCCATCAAGATAAGACCTCAAAACAGACCTTGGCATGGACAGGTGGTAAACTTGGCTTGCCAAGGCAATCACGCTGAGATCAGTATCTGCCAAATAAAAGAGTATTTTTCTGGTGTGTAATCCAGAAACTAAAACTCATCTCATTCTCCAAATGAAAATCAAAGAATCCAAAATGTACTACTTAGATTCAATAGGATAATGTTTGTAATATTTAAGTCATCAACCAGGAAATGAAAGAACCTGAACAGGGAAATACAGAAAAATTGTAATCCACGTTCTTCAGAAGTCATTCTAATTTAAAGTATTTCAAATATCAACATGTAACATTCAGACAAACCTTTTTTTAAAAAAAATCATACACAACTGTAGGAAAAGACACACAAATATGACAGTGTTGTGCATCGAATAAAAAACACAGCAAGTACATGGAGTGGGCAACATAGATATGTAGATATATTGTTTCCGGGATGCTATGAATGCTGAATGTTGCTTCAGATCCTCTGAGAGTGCACTTTTGCATGGATTGTGAACATATACTATATATGTAAAAAGATGTATACTAAATACAAACATGTACCCCTTAAAAACACCACTTTGAAAATTTTAAAAGTAGAAATGGCATCTTTTAAAAAATTTCATTTGGTAAAATTATACACCTTATATTTTTCAGGGATGTTTTAAAGCCAAGTTCATAATGTAGTTTTTAAAAATATTGGTATTTAAAAAACAATGGCTCACAAGATCTGGTCCATACTGAGATTGATAGGGAATAATAAATAATGGATTGAATACTGGTCCAATTTTATTAAGAACAGGAAAAAAATCAAACTAGCAGCTACCCACAGTTAAAACTGACTTTTTAAAAAAGTGTCAATATAAACATACTCACAAAAATCTCCTAATAAATAAAGATTCATGTATCAATCACTGTCTGTAGATTAGCTGAAAGTGGTTTGTTCCAGGCTTCCTTTTTCCCTTAAATCATTTGGATATTTCGTAATAAAATAAAAATATTTGGATTTCTTTTCTGAATGCATTCCATTGCAAATTCTCTTACAAAACACAAACTAAAGATGCGTAAGCAATTATCAAGTTGTGAGTCCTTTTGTGCTCAAGCAGTTATCTTCTCTCCAGCAGAACATTTTACAATATTAAAAATGGATTTCATTTTGTTCTACCCATTGGGTAGGATATGTGTATAATATATTCATGAGCACCTAAAACATCAAAAGCAGAGGAGATAAGCTGCAAAAAAAAGAAAGAGAGAGAGAGAGAGAGAGAGAGAGCACCATTTTAAATGAGGCACAACAAAAAGAGAGCATAAAGTTAGCTCGCTCGGAAGAATCATTTGACCCCTTCGGAATCTTTCCATTGACTTCAATGAGTGTTGTTGATTCAGACAGTGGGGGAGAGGGGCTCTGTCTGCTGAGCAGGAGGCTCTTAAGTTACTTTAGAAACTATAAACATGCAGAATCCTTTCAACTACATCTTCATCTACATACATGCATTAATGTGTCCAATATCCCCAGAGGAACATAAGAGGCCAATCCACCAAAAGGGGGCGGGGGGAAGGCAGAGGGTAAATAAGAAGCACAGGAATGCCCATAAGGTCTTTAGCACATGCCACATTGTCTCCACATAATCTCACAAACCATTCAAAGCAGCATCAAAATAGCAACAAATCACCTCCCATCCAATTACTTGGAGGCAAATCCCCTCCATTTTTATAGGGCTCACTTCCAAGTAAGAAAGTTTAGGGCTGAAGCATTTGTAACAGCCAGCCCAATCAGTGAATGCTTTGGTAGAGTTAACAAGATGCACTTTCTGCCCCAAGCTCCCAGATGGAGGTTTCCAGCACTGAATGGTGTAATGTCAATTCCTAAATAAGTATTTCCTAATCAAAAACTTCTGAAGTTCATCACTAAGGTGCTTTTTCAAAAGTCAACTGGGACTTTGTTTTTTTCCTTGAAGATGTTTTGCTTCTCATCCAAGAAGCTTTTTCTGAAGACATTTCACTTCTTGTCCAAGAAGCTCCTCCAGAATTGAAGACGTTTCTTGGATGAGAAGCGAAATGTCTTCAAGTAAAAAACAAAATTCAGTTGCCTTAGAAAAGCATCTTTGGGACAACCATGACCTAGATGACTGAGAATTTCTATAGACATTCTGAAGTTCATGATTACTTGGTTTCACCTTCAATATTCCCCTTTAACTTTCCACCTCTAGTCTTCTTCAACTTGGTGGCCTCTTAATGAAGAGAAATAATATACTTCCCATTTTTCCTACATCCAACACTTCTGCTTGGAAGTGATTTTAGCGTAAGGAACATTTTACCATAATACAGGATTGCCACAAGACTTCCCAAACAGAAGGCCATTTTCCTTGTAGGTATGCCAGTCTACTGTAAATTAATAATCTAGTAGAGGGGCAGAGACATCACTTACAAGGTTCACAATGTATTATAACATAAATATCATAGCTATAACGTAAAGCTCATGTCTCAATTATGTAGGTAAAAAAACCTCTCAAATGAAGGATTGCAAGTTATTTAAGGAATATAAAAATCATAAGGTAAATTTAGCAAAGCATTTAATGGAAATAAAGATCAAATTTTAGAAATATGTTTCTGGATCATAGAACAAAGTAGTAATAAAAACTTTATTAAGAAAACAAAAAAGAAATTACTCTGAAATAGTTTAATCCTCAGGGGACAAAATGAGGACAGACAATATTTACTATTGATTTGATCCTCAGATACTGCACTTTTCATTCCCTTTGCCTTCACTTTCCCTTTCTCTCCAAAGTATATGCCTAAAATATCTTTTTTGCACAACAAAATGATGTATTAATTCATTTCCAGCCTTATCACTTTTTTTCAGTTGGACATGCCAAGTCCTTTTAAATAGAAACGTCTATGAAATTAAACTATTGCTCCCCTTCAAGCATTTCTGACAGCATTCTTTCATTGAAATGATTTTGCTGATAAGATAAATATGCAAAATACTTCTCTTTGTAGATTCTCACTCTTATGTCTTTTTTCAGTCAAAACAGCATTGTTAATAATCAGAAAAATAGCAAAAATCACCTAGATATTTTCAGTGACCTGATGGAGAAAGTGGTCTACTGTATTTCATTAAAACTGTTAAGCGTAATTGGAAAGGGACAAAAGATGAACAAAATAATTTCAAATATGAATTTAATTTGTGAAGTCATTGCCCTCTCCAAAAGTATAGATCTTCCCTTCTTTTAATGGGAATTTTTAGTAGCTCCCGGATATTTTTGTTATATTGACTTTGTTGTTTTGACTTTAGCTTTAAAGTGAAATAAAACTAATTTTAAAAAGTTTTTTAAAGTGCTCCTTATACTGCACATTCCAAATATGCTATTAAAAGTGGTCTTTATTTACATATGAATCTTTAAGGTGGATTAAATTGTGTAATTTTTTTTGTAACACCCTTGATAAGGGTTGTCTCATTTATTCATTTACATTTATAAATTTATAATTATTTGTTCAATTTATTTTTTACCTTAGTGGCAATTAAGATCATTTTTAAAGTTTTTTAAAAAAATTTGGTGGCCACTTTCTTTTCTTCCTTTCTAAATGGAAAGATGGAAGTTGTAATGCAGGATTTCTGAAATACATCATGGTTGAGGAAATCAGCATTAGCCCATTCTCCAATGCATGTTTTCTATTTGTTGTCACTGTTCATTGAGTACTGTAGGAAGGCAGTATCAGAAGCAGTAAACCACTAACCTGTAAAATTAGTATATTTAAAAGAGCACTGAACCCAAGTATCCATTATCCCCTAAAGAACAGCGTATTTCAGAGCTGAGCAAAAGTAAAACTTGAGAGGCTGTTCAGAGATGAAACCTGATGTTTCTTTACATGTTAGATACTAAGGGAGCAGATTAGGAAACTTGGTATCTTTAGGATGTTTTCATAGGTCATGTATCCAGAATAATGGCAGAACTCAGTGAACAATTTGTACTGTATTTGTTAAGACTGAAGTTCACATAGAGTGGGAATGGAGAATTTTCTCTTTTAAAACAGAAGAATACTTTATTTGTGGCTTAACTATCTGTTTTGACAAATTCAAAGATGGAAAGGAGCAAAATGAACTTAACTACTGTTTTATGGCTTACCATGCAAAATATTCAATTATTAAGAACCACAGTGTGCATTCTCATATCATATATTCAAGTCAAATTAATTGTGGCCAGACAATGATTTAATGAACTGAGCCTTGTTTCTCTTCTCTGGAAGATACAGAGGAACAATATTTCAGAAGAAATATTCAGAAATATTTCAGAAGAAGGTTTTCGTACAGAAAACAAGTCATGACTTATCCTGTCTAGCCAAATGTGATGGACTTCCTTCAAATCTATCCAGAAGAGGAAATGCATATTTATATTGTTCCTAGAGCATTGCACCTAGACCATACTCCCTTTTAAGTAATAGAGAACGTACACTTTTCAAAATGACAGATATGAAATTAGGAAGTTTCTTCAAGTAACAGTAATCTGATTTCTTTCTTTATCAGTTAAAGGACACTAATTTTACCAAATTATTTTCACATCTGTACATTGAACTAAGAGATAAAGATTACATGCGTACAAAGGTTGAATTATATAAAAGAAAAGAAAAAATCCCCCAAATGACAAGACTTGAATCAAAACAATTCAACCTACTCTAATTTATAAACAGTCCCTGGACAGTGAGAAAAATCTGACATTAACCAAAGAAAAGAAGTTAGAAGGAAGAAGAGAACATATATGGCAAAGGTGAATTAATGGGAATTTGACTTCAAGTGAAATAATTCATGCATATTCAAAAATGCTTCTGCAGTGTAAAGCTGAATTCCCTCAAGTTGTCAAGAATAAATAGGCATTCTTAACCAGCTTTACTATTAATTAAATCCATGATCTAATTTAATTAAATCTCATCTCTTGGAGAACAGTATAAACCTATGTTTGAATTGACCAAGCATAAAAGGTAGCTACATAAACAAAATATTAAAAATCTATTGATTTTACTGTAAGATCTTGTGGAACAAGTACATTTGGCTACCCCCACAAGGGGAGGGGGTGCATTTCATTTTAAACACAAGTATTATTGAATAAAAGTTTCATATATTTCAAAGGAATATTGCAGAGCAATTTCTATGCACCTCCTCTCCCTTTCTCCATCCCTATTATTTTAAACAGAAATGCAAGTGCTTCTATCAACCAAATTTAATACTGCATCAGAATTGCAAGTCTAAATTCCATTTATCCATAGAAAGAGAAGAAATGATGATGTAGTGATTTATTTGTTTCAAGATAGCACAAAGACTTTCCAGGGCTTAACTATGGATATACTTCCTACAAAATGTAGGAAAATGAGTGGTTTCTATTTCAAAAATTGCTGAATAGTACAATGGAGCTGCCCAGATTGGATTTAGTAAATGGTTGAAACTGTATTATGAGAACAGCATTCACCAGAGCTGAAACAAGTAAAAATGGAGAACGGAATTAACAAAGAAATAAGAGACACAATGCCAGTTATAATTAGGATCCAAAGATGGGACAGATTCACTTTATTTAGCAAAGCCAGAAATGAAACTTCTTTACTATTATTAAGAATGAAAAAAAAAAAGAAGACCAAATTAATTATATTTGAGATTACATATGGGAACATAATTGACCCTACCTATGTTGTTTGTTCAGTTTTTCTGATATGTAGGAGAAAGCGAGGAAATGCTAAAACAACACAGCATTCAAAACAAGGATCTGCTGTTGCTAGGAGCAGGCAATGCGATTAAAGTAAGGCTTTCAGCTTGAGAGCTCAGAAAATCCATACTTCCTGTGACCCCTGCTCCTTCCAAAATATATGCTATGCTAATGAAGAATATCTGTATGCTAGTTATATGCTAAACTGCCAACACCCCTCTCATCCCTTGCCAATAATTTTATTTATTAAATTTATATGCCACTCAATCTTGCAATTCAAGGCAACTCTGGGTAGCTATTAATAATGTTCTTCAAACATTCAAGCTGAAAGGGTCACAAACATTGGTCTAAAGGGCCAATGTGATGTGGAAACTTAGAGAGGTAACTGGAGCATTAACACAGCATATACTCCAATCCTCAAAACATTAGGGATCTCCCCAACCCTCATTCATCTCCCCCCAAGATGAAGGCTTGGTGCTTTCTAGACATCTCAGATGGTAGAAACACATTCCGCATCAAAAGGTACAGAAGGCTTATAAAATGAGATAGCATTGTACTATCGTAAACATGATCCTTCTAAAAAAGTAGCAATAATAAAAAATTGAAAAGTTGTTGAAGAGTATAATATATAATTCATTGTTTTTGTAATGAAAAATGCCCCCCCAAATAATAAAGTTTTAAGGGAGTTTACTTATAAAATGTTTACATTATTTGTTCACTAAATTGAAGTATGAACAGAGTAATATCATCTTTAAGCTCTTCATATAAAGTGTAGTATGAGTATTTAAATAAAGAGTATTCATTAATTTACAAAATATAAAACAGAGCAAACTCTGCAGTTTTATGTTGATAGGCAGGATTTAGGGGCTCGGCAGGAAAAATCCCAAGATCAGCACAGTGTAATTTTGAAAAAAGCCAAAAAAAATAACTGATACAGAATCATCTCACAATTTAAGAGATTATATGTATGGGCTGTGATTGCCACATATATGAAGGGGTATGGAGGTGGGGTATGTACAATCCTCACTTCAGAAACAATATATTAGGCCCCAAGTCATTCATTTATAATTTCTCACTTTTGTCTATTTAACACAGAATTAAGACAATTCCTTAGTAGCTTGCAGATTCATGCCTTTCTTTCCCCACCCCAAGTAATACTGCAAAATATCCATCCATATACTGTGTTTATTTAGACTAAGTCTACTAAATAAAAATTATCCAGTTAAATAAACATGCAAAGTTTTGCCCTTATATTTTAGCCACAAATATATTCCAGAATTAAAATGTATCTGTTCCTAATACAGAAATTTCAAGCTCTCACATTGCAAAAGTTAGGGATAATGGTCCTGAAAAATCTATGTCCTTGGAATTATGATAAATTGTCTCTTCTTTACAAAATAAAGGTCTCAGGGCATAGTTTTTTTATATTTTGTCTTTATTGTTATATATTGTTATATATTTAGGACCTAAGAGACTGACTTTTCAATACAATCAAGGTTTCAATCTAGAAAATTGCAATATAGTTTTGGTTTAGAAAACTAATGTAGAACAATATGTTATCACTGTTGTGTTCTGTTGCATACAAATAAATCTCATCTGCATCTCTTGGAAATGGTTATAGATCATTTGCCCTTGCAATCTCTCTGCTTCCATGAGGTCAAATTAGCCCCTTAAATACTTATGCATTTAAATATGCAACAGAGAAATTTCTGTCTCTTTGAGCCTCATCAGCAACAGGCTGATTTCCTTTCTATATCAGCAGTAACTCATCTTAACAAGCACTACAAAACTTTTCTGTCCAGAATTTAGGGCATAAGTATAATCAAGCATAACTTCATGACAATGTAGTTTTTGATATTAAAGAGTTTAAATGGTTTGATCAAATGTGTTAGTTTATAAATACAAATTGTCCACTTAATTGTCCTTCAACATCACTATCTGAGAGATTTAGACTCAAATTGCCTGCAATTGAGATTCATATATGTTTTTCTTGAATTTAATACCCACTTCCGCACCAATATTTAAAAGGATGTTACATGCCTTTGGAAAGATCAATACACTTGATCAGTGAAATCTAACCCAATTTACTTCACAAATACCTTAAACCTCACATATAAAATCTTCTTCCTTCCCCAACCTTATGATCCTAAGAGGTCCTGTGCAAATTATCTGACGTTATGGAGCATAAAGCATGCAGAGAAAGAATCCAGTATCTATACCTATGTTGCACAAGGATACTACATGACATCGTAAGAAGCTGAAAGTATAACATACATTGCTGTGTTTCATACACAACAAACATATTGTTTGTTGGCTAATTCTTGGAAATGTATATAGGCATATTGGCTAATTCTTGGAAATGCATATAGGATGACAAATTGAGTTAATGAGACTTAATTTAGAACATTTAGGTTGTAAACCTGTATGTGGTTACAATATATTAAAGCAAACCACAAGACTCATTACTGCATAGTCATATACAGATTGCTACAAGTAATCTGAAAAAGAAAAAAAAAAGGAGAGGAGATGGGCTTTAATTGTATGGTTTAAAAGCAGATTAAAGCCATTTATTTCTATATAACTTTTTTGGCAAGTGGAGAACTTTTGAGGTTACAGCTAGACTTCTGAGATCCTAATCAACTATGTTGTACATGATGAGGAATACTTTAAGGAAAGAAAGGTTTCAGAACAGATGAAATAATGATTTTTGTTAATTAAGAAAGTATTTATATTAATTCTGTTACTAATCCCTGTGTGTGCTTATTCTTTGAATACAGAAAACTTATACTAATACATTTTTTATTTGATAAAAAAAATTGATAAGAATAACTAACTGGATTCTAACCTGAAAATAAATAGCAATTATTCCTGGGTTAAGCAAGACCCTCTATCTTAATTAAAAGATGACCTAAGTAAAAAAAGACTGTTTGTGTATACGTTTGTGCATTACAAATATACACAATTTATTTATAACATTTGATAGTTAGATTGTTGAGAGCTGCACACAACTGTAATTACGTATCAAAAGAAAATTTTCATGGACTGCATTTTTCAAAAGTTGGGATTAATTATGCCTTGCATATATAGGTATAAAAATTACTAAAGTATACAATTTTGAATAAACTGCTGGTTTGTCTATAAATGTTGCTCCTTTTTAAAAAAAATGCAAAACATGAAATTAATTTTATTACAATAATTTTATCATGTAGATGTGGCTTGCATGTTATGCATTGCTAGCTCCTGGACAAGGCCAACCCATTATTAGACAGATAGACAACCAATTTTGAAAGGGTCATAAAATGGACAATACTACTCTATTTTGACTGCCAGGTTGCAGAAAAGTATGACATTTCCTACTGCAATAACTTTTAGTCAGCTTTTAGTAAGATAAATACTGATGTAGGGAGGCTGTCATTTGATGCTCCACCTTACAAAATGTTTTCATAAGACTTATCACTACAACTTATCACTATCCTTCTTAACATTTCATCTGGATCCCAAAAGCCCAAAATACTCAGTTTCAGATTTAAGCTGACAGCATTTTCACCATTAAAAGAGAGACAAATAATTTCAACCTTTAAAAGTCCCAAATACTTCACTCTTATGAATCTATCTCATTAAAAATATTTGCCCTATAAAATACCATTTGAAGATGCCATTTCTGAAGCAACACTCTAGAATTAACATATTTCTAAGCTTCCCATTAATTCCTATTCTAACTCCTAAACAGACTGCTTTCATATGAATTTGAGATAAAGCTTTCAAACAACATTTCTGGAAAATATAAATATGACAGTAGTAAGAGAAGATAATACAGAGGTGCCAGGTTCAAAAAAGAGTTGGAAGAAAAAAGGGAAAAAAAGAAACATAAAATCAACCTACTGAGATTGTTATGGCACTGTTCCAAAATGGCATTATTTAAAGGAAATTCCAGTAATTACATTGCACAAGGAAAGGCTCATTTCTAAAGCATCTGTTCCTACATTGTAGCCCATTTTGAATCCTAATACAAGAACTATCCAGAGCTTTCAGCAATAATGGGACCAAAACAGTAAAACATTTGGGGAAAGGGAAAAAAAAGAAAAAAAAAGAAATAGATTTTAGCAGTTTGAGGGAGTTTTCTAGTAATCTAAAAATTATGTCAGTGCTTAAATTAATATTGGGTTTAACATCAAATAAAATTACTTTTTATGAAATATTATTTTGAATAAATAGTACATAAAATTCAATTTCAAGCATTTAATCATTATACCGACTTTCCATCTACATATTCAAGAGTTTCCAGTTAAGACTGACAACTTCCAAAGTCAAAAAGTAGGGTTGACTTAATTATCCATTCATACAATGAATTTTTTTATATAACTATAAAACTGTATTAACGTGAGCTTTGCTCTCTTGGCTAAACCCGAGTTATAATTTAAAATATGTCATATATGACTATGTCATTCTGAGTTTTAGTTCAGAGAAATTTCATTTGGAAATCAGGGTTTCAAAAATAGTCACTGGATTTCAGTCTTACATTTTTAAACGGGCAACACCAAATAGTATCAAAAAAATTTACATCTATTGAAAGAAACAATGTTCACCAAATATGAAAACTTGAAGATGCCAACTTGTAATGGCTGTTTCACATATATATCACAGAGTTTTTACAATTGTCACATGACAGATATGTGAATCAGTAAAGATCACAAGGATCAGAAAAATAGCTTCTAAATCATGGCTACATAATCAGGACATAAACAGATTCTACCCAATTACAAAAACAGGATTCTATCCTTACAACAGAATTGTTATTTAAGGATTTTTTCAAGCTAGTCATTGAGTTCACTTTTAAGGTTTATGAAAGCTTCCAGACAGAGATGGAATTAAAACACACATCCACCACACATGCTATTTTGGCATAAAAACTCTGCATAGATCAGAAACTGAGTTCAGATTCCAGATTTCACTCTAACTTACTTCAGGTTATAGAAGTCCTCCGGAAAGAGAAAAAAAATTCTGCAAACAGAACAAAGGTATCAGTACAGTACATTGTTATAGTGCCATTGATGTCCTTGTTAGACTATTTCAATTAGGAAAATGTTGCCTATAAAAACCATAAAAAAGGGAAATTTGAAGGAAACTTGTCTGCAATTGCAATTTTGCCCAGAATATCAGAACTCTATAGATTTTCTTTTGTTTTCTTTTAAAGTTCATTTGCTCACCATATTTGAAGTGCCTGTTGTGCTTTAGCTGTGCTTTTGAATAGAAAACCATTTCCTTCAAAACTCTTTCAATTTACTAAAAACACATGATCAAGCATAAAAGCCAATAACTGAGGATTCCAAAACAGATCAAAATTGCTGGAATACTTTAGAGTCCAAGTCTAAAAACTGGAGCAGTCCTAATGTGGCATTCAAGAGAGTAAGAAATTTCAATTAAGAAAAAAAGATCTAAAACATTATGTGATTGCTTGCACAATAGATTTAAAATCAATTTGATGCAGAACAACATTAACCAATTGTAAAACTGATTAATACTCTGAAGCAGTTCCTGGTAGCATTCTGCAATCAATTATTCCCACATTATCAGATAAGAAACGCAGACTGAGAATAGATCACTGTCTTTAGAAAGTAAAACACAAAAAACTAATATTAAACAACATAATTATAATTTAACAGCAGAATCCATGTTGTACTTTTTAAATCATTTATTGTATGATGTAAGTAAGGCTATATGACTGAATATATTATGGACTACACTGAAGATAAAAATTTGCAAAAGCTTTAAGTACTACTGACACTGAATCGTGTAAAAAAAAAGGGTGACAAGCAGTTAAGTTATAGCTATAGTTACAAAAAAAAGTAAATGTGGCATTTAATCTGTTCTAGTATAACAAATGGCTTGTAGCTAAAAACCACCTAAAGAAGGTGCTTCTGTATTTTCACATTTGCTTTCTTCCACCTATAAATTTCTAAGAGAATTTGCTGATACCCTATTTGAATGCAAAATTATTGCAAACAGTAACATGTTAAAACATCTTCTATCATTTATTGTCAGTTATGTAGAATGATAAGAAACCTATTTAAATCTGTATGCCCCAAAATGGGATCATCAATAGAGGCCTGGGCAAAGTCCTGGGGGCTAATAATGAAAAGGTGAAAAGACACCTTATAGAAGAACCTTATAGGTAAAACAGTTCCTTCGTAGATATTTAAAACATGAAAGATAGTGCAAATTTAACACACTAGTATCACAACACAAATTAACTCCTTGTATTCTTTTAGTTTTTTTTTTCTAAAAAAACTTGGCACACAACATAAATGTGGAAACAGGAAAAAAGAAATCATATATTCTGGGAGAAGGGAGGGAAAGCAAACTGGCCAATTTTGCCCCCATTTAGCTAGTAATCTTTCTTAACTCTCCTCTTTTAGGCTTTAACTTACTATAAAACAGGCCAATGTTTCTGTGCCTGTTACTTCTTAAAATTAAATAATTCAAATACGTTATTAAAAAAATAATATATTTTTTAAAAAACACTGCTCATGGCCAAACTGACTGGAAGGTTGCAATTATTTCAAAACAATTTTCATGCACTTCCCATTAAAGGAATCGGAAATAAAGAACAGCTTTGTACGTTTGGTTTTACTAAATTGTGTCACATGAACTTTTAACAATATTGTGCACAGGGGCATAGAAGCTTCCCTTATGCTCCTGTTTGATTCTCCCGTCTCTCTTCAAGTGCACACGGAAAAAGAAACTAGACAAAGTTTCCTGGTTTCCTGTCTTTGCTTTCAATAGGGACTATTGTGCTCTCTGAATTGTTCTGCTGAAACTGAAGTCTGCTCCCCCTCTGTGATGAAGAAGGCGCGTTGCTTTGCTGGTGATGGAAAAAAGAGGAACCCGGATAATGCCCCATGACCTCACTGTAAGTTGGGGGTGGTCCTTCCATCCTTCCATTACTGCTATAATTGGTTGCACTTATTCCCGAATTGCTGCTTGGTGGGCAAGGGCCCGCATTATATACTGAAACATCTATCAAGTCGCTGTCAAATATAGTTCTGTTTGGTGGTGCCCTCACGGATTCTCTGTTAAGTTCCATCTGTTGTTCTGGATCCCGAAGCTGCAGAGTGCAGGGCCCTTGGTATGGTGGTGGCTCTTCACCATCAGAAAGAGAGATTGTAGGAGGCAGATCAATCTCGTGCTGCACATAGGGATAAGTTGGCTGGAAGCGACTGAAATGTTCTCGCTGCAGAAAAGATGGAGCGGTAAATCTGTCCCTGGAACGTGGGGCATACATAATCTGCAATGTAAAGCAATCAGTATAGTCAAACCTAAAAAAAATTCAGAAATGCATGCAACATTTTGAGTGCACACATACATACAAACACATTTTAAAAAATCCAATTTGGTGTTGAAACAATTTCAGAGGGAAAAAAGATTCCTTAGGAGATCTTATTATTATTATACTGCTTTACAAAATTATCTAAAAGCAGAACAATTCCTTAAGAAAGCATATTCCAATGTAATCTTCCAAGCACTTTCCATAGTATTTGTCAATACAGTATTGCAGGGAAACTGAAGTTCAGGTAAATGTGCAACCACAGCAATCAACTTTCTCTTCCTTCTATAATACTTTTTAATTCTGAAATCTACAGGTATATGCTTATAGTTAAGAGCAGCAACATAATTGCCACAATGCCACATGTGACTTCCATACTACATTGCTTCCCTCTCCATTAGAAAATCAAATAATTGAAATTTCAAAATAAGAAGGAATCCCTGGTGATCCTTTCTGTGGCTTACCTCTGAAGGTCCTTGTCGAGAAGATGAGCTGTCAGAAGGCCACAGACACCCCTCCTAGGACACAAAGAAAAAAAAAGAAAAGCTTCAGCATTTAAGAGCTACATGCCACTTACATGTGTGGGTTTTACAGGTAGTCCTCAACTTACCACCAGTCACTTAACGACTGAAGTCATGATGGACCTCCAAAAAGCTACTTACAACTTGGTTTTGAAGTTCTGCAGCCCCTCCTGTGGTCACATGACCACATTTTGGACGCTCAACATCTTACCTGCATTTACACCCATTTGCAGCACCATGTACTCATGTGACCACAATTTATGAAGTTTTTCTCGAAACCGGTGCTTATTTCTGCTTTCCAGAAAAAACTGCCCAGCAGTAATTAATGGATTTGCTTAATTACCATCATGTTCACTTGACTGCTGCAGGAAATTTCATAAAATCATGTCTGGTGATATGGTGACCTGCTTTATGACCATTATGACCGTAATTGCCAGGGTCAATTACTGTCATACATTCAACATTAGTGCACAATTTCTACTGAAGCATACACATTTCAGATGTAATGTCATGGGGATGGCATTAAAAACATATTGGCAGGTCATGTTTGTTACACTATTAAATGTAAGTGGAGTTGTTTGTTGTTGTTGTTGTTGTTGTTGTTGTTGTTGTTGTTGTTGTTATTATTATTATTATTATTATTATTATTATTATTAAATCTTTAGTGAGATTCACAGCCTTTGAGGCTGGTTAATAGCTCAGCAGCTCGAGTCCTAACCAAGGACCTAGGAACTGTTAAGGTATCGTCGGAGGATGTAAGCTGTTCCGAGTAAGGTGGTTTTTTGTAGAGTCAAAATGTTCAAGTCTGGCAAATTTAGAATTTCTAAATAGCGGGGTAGCCCTTTGGGTATTGCTCCAAGGGCTCCAATTACAATCGGGACAACATACGATTTCTTTTTCCACAGTCGCTCAACTTCAATTTGCAAGTCCCGGTACTTTGTGATTTTTTCTTGCTGCTTATCTTCAATCCGTGCATCACCAGGTATTGCAATGTCAATGAACCACACTTTTTTCTTTTCAACTATTGTTATGTCAGGTGTGTTGTGGACCAAGTGCCTGTCAGTCTGAATCCTAAAGTCCCACAAGATCTTGAGTTTCTCATTCTCTAAAACTTTCTCAACCTGATGTTCCCAGTGGTTTTTGCTGTACTCAAATCCAAACTTCTGGCACAATTTCCAGTGAATGATTTTAGCAACACGGTCATGGAGTTGTAGGTAGTCAGTTTGTGAAATTTTGCTGCACCCACTAATCAGGTGGTCGACTGTCTCATCTTTCTCATTGCAGAGGCGGCATTTGCTGTTGGTGGTAACATGTTGAATTTTTGCCTTCATGCAGTTTGTGGCTAGGGCTTGTTCTTGAGCTGCCAAAATAAAGCTTTTTGTTTCTTTTTTCAGTACTCCTGATCTTAACCAGCTCCAAGTTAGTTTCTGGTCAGCTTTGCCTTCAATACTTTTCAAGTATTGGCCATGCAGAGTTTTGTGTTTCCAATTTTCAGCTCGCTGCTCAATTACTTCTTTCTTATATTCTGCTTTTGTTTTAGTTATCTTTAAAAGGCCTCCTTTATTTACTTCCTTAATCACTGGTTCTTCACTTTTCTGGATGTAATCATTCAAGCTGCATTTTTCTTCTTCCACAATCTGCTTTACTTGTAGGACTCCTTGACCACCCTCTGCTCTTGGTAAATATAATCGGTCAACATCACTTTTAGGGTGCAAGGCATGATTCATTGTCATAAGTTTCCTTGTTTTTCTGTCCAAATTGTCTAACTCCATCTGGGTCCATTATTATTATTATTATTATTATTATTATTATTATTATTATTATTATTATTATTATTATTATTAATTGAATTTGTATACCGCCCTACTCCCGAAGGACTCAGGGCAGTGAACAGCCAAAAGATAAAACACATATAATACAAATATTAAAAAACCATTAAAATACAATTAAATAAATTGGCCCAGAGAACAAAATTTAAAACACCCCACATTTACAAGACAAATTTAAAATTTAAAAAATTTAAGAACAGTTTAAAAGAGAGGTTAGGCCAGGCCGGCCTGCTGGAATAGGAATGTTTTGAGGTCATGGCGGAAAGCGCGCAGATCCGGGATCCTCCGTATTTCCGGGGGGAGCTCATTCCAGATGGCAGGTGCCCCCACAGAGAAGGCTCTCCCCCTGGGGGCTGCCAGTCGACACTGTTTGACCGACGGCACCCTAAGAAGCCCCTCTCTATGGGAGCGTACTGGTCGGTGAGAGGCTACTGGTGGCAGAAGGCGGTCTCGTAGATACCCCGGTCCTAAGCCATGGAGCGCTCTAAAGGTGGTAACCAAAACATTGAAGTGCACCTGGAAGACCACCGGGAGCCAGTGCAGCTCGCGCAGGAGGGGGGTTACAGGGGAGTGCCACGTCGGTCCCATAACCACCCGCACGGGCCTCATTCTGGACCAGCTGGAGCCTCCGGGTGCTCCTCAAGGGGAGCCCTGTGTAGAGAGCATTATTGCAGTAGTCCAGGTGGGAAGTGACGAGGGCATGAGTGACCGTATTTAACGAGTCCCGATCCAGAAAGGGACGCAACTGGTGAATCAGGCGAACTGATAAAATGCCCTCCCGGCCACAGCCGTCAAGTGCTCTTCTAAAGACAGCTGTGAGTCCAGGAGGACACCCAAGTTGCGAGCCCTCTCCATGGGGGTCAACGATTCGCCCGCAATAGTCAGTGATGGCACCAACTGACTATATCAGGATGTTGGAAACCACAGCCATTCGGTCTTGGATGGGTTGAGCCTTAGTCTGTTTCTCCCCATCCAGATCCATACAGCCTCCAGGCACTGGGACATCACTTCAAGGGCATCATTGGGGTGGTCTGGGGTGGAGATGTACAGCTGAGTGTCATCAGTGTACTGGTGGTACTTCACCCAAGAGTTGGCCCTTGTATCTTCTTAGAATATGAACATGTTTCTGGAATTTTCTTACTTTGTGCCCTAATAGCTTGGGGCCAATTCTGTGGTGAGTGTCCCAAAGGTGCTTTTTCAAGAGGCAACTGTTTTTTCTTTGAAGACGTTTTGCTTCTCATCCAAATAGCTTCTTTAACTCTGACTGGATAGTGGGGAAGAAGAAGCTGAAGAAGCTTCTTCAGTCAGAGCTGAAGAAGCTTCTTGGATGAGAAGCGAAAGGTCTTCAAAGAAAATCAGAAAGTCCAGTTGCCTCTTGAAAAAGCATCTTTGGGACAACCATGACCTGGATGACTGAGAATCTCCACAAACACTGAGGTGAGTGTGTTTTGATCTAAGGCCTATGATGCTAAATCTATATACTTCATTTTTATTTCTTATTCAAGCTCATAACATAATTCAGTTGCAACTGACTATAAGCACTGTACATTCCAATCCCCAAATAGAGTAACAAAATAGAAAGTATAATATAATTTAACCAAGAAATAAGATAAAGCACCATTTAATTCGTGTGTGTGAGAGAGAGAAAGAGGGGGAGGGAGGGAGGGAGAGAGAGATATTTCATTTTTCTAACCAGTCTCTAAATACCTCCTAGAATAGCTAGGTCTCAATGACTGTCCTAAATGCCATAGGATTGATGCTAATCTAATCCCTGTGGGAATGCTACTTCACAGAAGAAGAAAAGTTTTCTTTATAACCCTGCTTATAACGCTATAAGGCTACTTTAGAACAGGGATCCCTCCCTTCCAATATAATTGGACAGGAAATTCTGCTGTGCAATATCTTCATTAAATAATCATAATTAATGAATAAGTACAACAGGTTTCAGGACAATTGTTTGCAGCAATTCCTCTATATATGAATTTTTCCATGTAATGCGGAAACTACAGTGTAACGGAGGCTTGGGCACAGTATTTAGTCATAAGGATCATGAGAATAAGATCTTCCAAAGCTTTATTGAAGATCCTGAGGACTGCCTGGTCAATGCGCTGTGCAACATGATTAGAGAGACAAGGTAATAATATTCACTGTTTTCCCCATGCTAGGTTCAGTTCCACTGATCTATTTTGCATACAATTTTGATATCATCTTGTTTAGCATCATATTCTTAAATTACACTACTCTTGGAACTTATCCCTCAAATACACATATACACTCACAAAACACATTGGTTTTTTTTCTAACAAGGCTATAGGTCTTTCTCCACTGCCAAGCTGAAGTGCTCTCTACTCAAAGTATATCAATCTATAATTAGCAGTCCCCACTGCTGATTCCTATCCTGCATCTATAGCCATTCTCTCAAGTCAGTACTGTCATTTGACTGTCACTGAACTAAGCCTAACAGATTTTTTTGCATTTTGTGGCTGCCCTTCATTGAGGCAGAATAAAGCAAAATATATTACTTTAAAACTTGTACTACCAATCTGTCTCACTCATGAGATGAGAACAGATGGATGTAATGTCATGGGGATGGCATTAAAAACGTATTGGTAGGTCATGTTTGTTACACTATTAAATGTAAGTGAAGTTGGCCCTTGTTTCTTCTTAGAGTATGAACATGTTTCTGGAATTTTGCTTTTCTAAGTTAAGCACCTTAAAAAAGCCTAAAGAAAGCAGTAACAAGGTGAGGTGGGTAGCACCATCAATAACAAGAATTTCATATGCAACATGCAACATTTCTGATCCAGTCACTGTGAAAACTAAATCTATACAAATAAAAAGTTATTATAAAGATCTCATAGTATTTTATACTCTTATCTCTTATTTAATTTATGTCTCATGTTTCTGTATAACTATCATGCAGTCAGGAAATAGTCAAACATTTTAAGCTATTTACATGTTTAAAAGATGACATAATTTTATTTTAAATAAAGACACTTTAATCTTTATATCCACCACCAAGAAAGCACTGAAGCAAGTGCTTCATTCTACTGAATATCTTAACTCAGCATCTTCACTTAATGTTTATTTGGCTGAAGAAACTTTGAATTAAGACCCCATTTCCTGAATCCATAAACTTGCTACAAACTGTCAAACATTCCAACAGTG